CTCGCATCGAGAAGATGCTTTACGCGTTTACTCTTCCATTCCTCAGACGGGCAGCAATCCTGTGTCGCTCCGTTGTCCCGCTTACATTCCCGACTCCATTACTAGGTGCCTCTAACGTCAATGAGTACAAGCGTCTACTCGCTACCCTTGGCATTCCTCCCTTGGCAGACCTCCCACACCAAGATACACTTCAAAACGCACTCTCCGGATGGTGCGCCCACTACGGCCACTCGCATGCTGCCTCGCAACTCAACTGTGGCGTCGTACTGGACTACGCAGCTGTTTACGGCATCGCCCGTCTGCCGCTCATCCTCGATAACCTTTTTGGTGAGCGAGACAAGGTGATGAAATGTCACCGATGCAACACCGTTCCGACGGATGCTGCAATCTGTTTGATCTGCGGAGTAACATGCTGTATGGCGAGTCACTGCTGTCAAGACGAGTTAGGACTCAGGGGAGAGTGTAATATGCATACACGAGAGTGAGTCCTCCAAGTCATACCACGACATGACGCTGATTTCTTGTGGTTGCAGTTGCGGTGGTGCTATCGGTGTTTACTTCGTCGTGAAACGATGCTCTCTACTTTATTTGTACGCCAGCAACGGGACATTTGCACAGTCCCCTTACCTCGATGTTCATGGTGAGGTCGATGTCTCAATGAGGTCAGTCTGTTCTGCTGGTTAATTTCAACTGAATGCTCAACAACTACGGCGTACAGACGTGGCCGTCGTCAATATATACACCCAGCTAGATGGGAAGAAGTCCGCAAAACGTGGCTCAACCACGGTATTCCAACTGCTGTTGCTCGTAAACTTGAGAGCACGGTCGACAGTGGAGGATGGGAAACACTTTGATTCTTAGTGTCCCGTAGTTTTAGCAAGCCTGTGCATCACATATCATCTGTATACAAGTAGCGCAAATGGACAATTAGAAATTCGATTATATTTATTTCGAATCGCTAGTTTTGTGCGCTGAGAGCGCCATTTTCAGCCTTTGCGCTGTCCGTTCGGTACCAAGGACATCGATAATCTCAGGAAGGCTGGGTCCCGCTTTCATCCCAGATAGCGCGTGCCTCAAAGCAGTCATGAAGACCTTGGATTTCAGGCCTGTTTTCTCGCACGCATCATGCAAGAAAACTGCAATGTCAGATTGAGTCGATGGTGATGAAGACTCGAGTTGCAGGATAACTCGTCGCACCACATGGTCTATAATGACGCAAAGCAATCAGTAATGCTGATTACTGACAGTGCGTGACTTGCCGTAGTCATCAGCTGATAGTCCTCGCTTCACGGAACGCGCTTCGGGCAATTCATAATCCGGTTCCACGAAAAAGAACGGAGCGAGTGTTGGAACATCATGAAGATTTGTTATGCGACCCTGGAGGCACTGTAGTTGTACGTTCATTCAGTAGGTAAAGCATGCTCACCTGCAAGACACTGATTACACGCGTGATGTACTCCACATTTGTGTATGGACTAGAAACACTGGGTTAACAAGGGCATAAATGAATAGATGAACAGACTACCTGTGAGGGAAAGCAGCCTTGACAACATCATGTACTCGTCTTGCCTGGAAGGTAATACCTTGTTCGGTCTGCCAGCTCCGCATGAGGTGATGTTTGTTAAGATATGCAAGCTTTGCAGGATCAAGAACATTCCTGCGATGCGTAACGGAAGATAGATCAAACTGTAGAATAGACCTGTTGTAGAACACGCCAAGAACTCATGAAATAGTGACAACGCACTTGGTCGATGAGTTCTGGGAGCGTCATGAGGGTTGTACTGTCAGGAGGTTGAGTCGAGGGCGTTCCGGGTGGGGAAGGGCGCCCATTTTCATGGTGAACGCCCCAACCGGCTAGTGCAAGCCAATTTAGAACACCTTCCGGTTCCCAACCACGGCGCTATAGAAAACGGCGTTCAAATCAAAGTTTGTGGATGACGAAAGTGACGTACCATGAAATCTAAGACAGACACATCTCCATTGCGCTTTGACATCTTTGTTCCATTCGGGTTCAAGAGGATGGGTAGATGCGCAAATTGAGGGGGTTCGAGACCCAAACACGAATACAGATCGAGGTGCAGCGGTAGTGAAGGCAGCCATTCCTGGGATGCATGGAATTAAAGGACGTCGTATCACGGAGGTATGGACACCTACCTCTCCACGGAGAACATGCGTGATATCCATCTCATGGTCGTCAACAACAGACGCCAAATGGTACGTGGGGAACAGATCAGATTTCAAAAGAACGGGGTCTGTTGGAAGTGAGGCATGTGCATCCCTCAGGAGACCGAAGACGATATCGGTGGGTGAAGCACGGTCTGGGAGGTTGTCATCCTGTCGCTTGTAAGCATGAGGTTTAACAGCACAATATATGTACTCACATTCAGTCTGACGATGGACTTCTCCCCAGCGCGTACTCTGCGTGCAACTTCTTCCTCCGTGAGATGGAGGCAGGACTTGTCATACGTAGCATTTGACCCTGTGCGCGCAAGCTTCTCGCGAGTAGCAGCAAGTTTATCGGGAGAGCAAAAGCATCGGTATGCATGACCAGACTATGAATTGGCAATGATTAAAGAAAGAAGGGAGAAGTAATGAGCACACGACGGACGTCTAGGAGCCTGCGTGTATATGAATGGTAAAGGTCGAGCCGCTCTGACTGGTGGAGCTCAGTATACGGGGCGTGCAACAGATTGGGAGACACCAACTTGGAAATACGGCCCATGTGGACCATCCATTCCAGGACCTAGATGAAGATTATTCGAGTTGCTTTGAGCCAGAATGTGACATACGGCTTACCAAAGTCATGCGGAAGACCAGCCCATGTCAATGCATTCTTAATGTCGTCCACCGCAGTTGGTACATATCTCGCCTGGGTCCCAGATGAGATTTTGCAGAGATGAGAGAAGCATGGAACTGACCGCGTCTGTGTCTTCTATTCTGAGAATCCATTTGCCTCCGTGTTTTTTGGCGAAGAGATGGTTGTAAAGAGCGGTTCTAAGTCCACCGAGGTGAAGAGCACCAGTAGGAGATGGTGCAAATCTCAAGAGAACCATGTTTGAGATGTTATGTTGTATTACTGATATGACAGAACCAGGCAAGTGCAATGTGCAGTAGAAGCAGCGATGAACTCGAGCCGGTACGGGTCAAAGATTGAACGACTGCCACTAATTAATCATAACGGTCTTGTGCTAACGTATTGGCTACAATCAAACACACACCATATGCATATATGATCACAAAGGTTCCTCTTAAACCTATACATCATGATACCTAATGCGTATATTCGAATTGTATTGATGGTATCTGGGGCGAGTGGACATGCCCCCATCTATTGCTTTACCCATAACACCGGAGAACAGTTTAGACACTTCTCCCTCACAAGACATGAATCGGTTGCGCGACCCCTACCAGCTTGTAATATCTGCCTCAGCCTCTCCAAACAGGCTCGTCTTCTTGATTGCGAAATCCCCCTCAGGAACATCCTCCTCATCTCTCTCATATAAATCTGGAAACTCCCTCTTGAGGAATCTAAGAATATGCGTGTTGATCTGCTCGAATTCAAGGAGGAAGCCGTCATGGCCATCAGGCGATGAGATGACTACAAGTTCTGCATCAGGTATGTGTGTTACAAGCTCCTTTTGTTCAGAAGGAGTGAACAAGCCGTCCGTTTCGACGCTGATCACCAATGCACGCGGAGGGAGAGTTGCAATGACAGCGGCAAGAGCAGATGATTGTGCTGTCGGTGATGAAGGGTCTTCGAGAATGGAGGTCCGTCCTCGAGCAATATCATGCGTATCCAACTTGCGGGTAATATGGATGTAGCAATTAGCGTCAAAGCGCGCCACAAATTTCGCGCCCTGATAGCGCAAGTACGATTGCACTGAAAAAAGTGGAGGGGATGAGTTAGGCGCCGTGCCGTTCGGCCCTTCTGTTGGAGAATGAGGCGGAGATGATGCGGTTGAGGTTTGAGTTTGGGGGCGTGTGCCGGTTGCATTTTTGTGACCCTCGTTATGAGCAGCGAGGTCCTTATCAGCAAACGTAATAGAAGAAGGTGTGACAGTGCTAGACTCCGGGACAGGAGTAACTTGAGGGCGACGTCCAAAGCGATTCTCGAAAGAGTCACGCGATCGATAAGTTAGAAGTGCGGCCATTCGTGCAGCAGCTAAACCAGTTGAAGGTTGTGTGTCGTAGTATCCGTCGTCGTAAAGCGGGTCGCTATAAATGCTTTGGCGTTGTGCCTCTCCCCAACTGATACACCAAGCAGAGTGCCGCGCAGAAGTAGCCAGAGGAATTATATGACGGACATAACCTGGGGGAGTGCACAGAGGCCATTCAAGAACGGCCATTCCGCCCATGGAGCCTCCAATGACTACAGCGACATTGGAAACTCCCAAATTATCAAGGACGAGTTTATGCAGTCTGCATGAATCAGATCAGAAACCATTCAGGATATTGGAAGACTACCCACCGCACGTCATCGCGTATCGTTGTCTGAGGGAATTCTGGGCCATAAAGTTTTCCCGTAGTTGGATTAGTTGTTACAGGAGAAGCCGATCCATATGGTGAGCCCATAACATTGGCACAGAAAATGAAAAATCGATTGGGGTCGAAGGCCTTCCCGTGCCCGATAAGAGGGCCCCACCTGGAATACATAAGAATTTTCCCGAAATGAAGTGTCAAAAAATCTCACCAATCTTCTACATCTGCGCTGCCAGTGAATGCGTGGCAAATGATCATAACGTTGTCCCTAACGTCATTCAACTTGCCCCAAGTCTTGTAGGCGACCGGGACCTCCCGCAATATCCTCCCATTCTCAAGAGTGAACGATGGAACAATATAGATGTTCTGGTCGACCAAAGCTGCAGGAAGAGACATAACCTTGCCACGAAGCAAGGTCAATATACGCCATGGTCGTTTTCTGTGATTTCCAAATAATAGTAAATTCGGGCGTTGCGCCACATTGCTGCTCCGGCAACTGCCGCGACCACTGGAACAGTACTAGTCAATGTCATCCGAACGAGCCATCCTGGATTCCATGTGGATTCGACGTGCTCTGATTCCTTATATCATTCGAGCACGAGATAGTCATATATTTTGGAGCTACTCAATTGCCGCTGCGGGGGGAGATATCGACCCTGAAGGCCTGATAATTGACTTCATTGTCACGTTATGTACCGAGTCCATAAGCTTCGTACACGGCGTCTCATTGCGCTCTGCGCTAGCCTCAGAGTTTCGGCTTTGTTTCAACACCAATCTGCGCCTCCTGACCGCAGCTACGACGTGGGTGGCATAACCCTAACGGCGCCCTTCTTAACGATATCTCGGCTGTCCTTCTCATTATATCCTACAGCTCACCCTCACTTATCGTATGTGCGGACTATCAATGGCTGCCTACACTGGCGGAGAATGTTTCCATCGCAGGGATTCCTCTCCTTATTCTGGACGTCACACTCTTCCTCCATCGGAGTCCAGGTGATGATCGCTGTGTCAGCGATGCGGGCTGTCAAAATATTGACATGGAGCTCCTCACCTTTCGACTTGACCGCCGCACTCGTCCACCACACGCAATTGACCCCTGCTACTTTCCTGTGCATGCGTCGTGTGTCTGACCTAGACACGGATGGATGTCCAACAAAGCCAACAGAGACACGGCCCTCGACATGCGCACCCTAGCATTCGGAAAGTTGACATTTCTCTTTGGGTGATCGTTGCAGCATGCGCTGGATGGGCCGCACTCGTCATGTATATCTGGGACCACTTCCACATCTCGTATTTTTCCTCTAATCCGCTAACTACAAACGTGGCCAGTCCTTCAGAACGGGCAGTGGAATTACATCACGTATCATATGCCAAGTGTCGCTCTTGAGAGGTGGATTCTGCTCTTTGTCAACATTGCAGTCGTTCAGGGACCATTGGCGCTTGGGCTGCATTGCTAGGAGCTCGTCGTGAATGTCATTCGAGACGAAATACAGTAGAGATGCGCTACCGGAAAGAAAGGACTTGAAGTGGCGACGAACCCGCTGAAGCCGATTTTCATACATCCGCTCTGTCTCATGCTTTTCCTCACGAAGCCTTTCCTGCGTGAGTCATTCACGCCCAGTGTTTTGTTGTCAATGTTGTTGAACATTATCCCTGACGATCACAGACTGGATGTTTGGGCTTTCATTCACCATATCTGTCTCAGCCACGAGAACATAAGATATTTGCCGGTATACATGTACACCGCCCAGGTTCGCACTTGCTGCCCATGCAAAATTGCTACAACATTTTCACGCATCCTTGCAGATCTGGAACTTATGCATTGTGCTCCTTATATTTACCTGTCTTCAATTTCATCGCAGTGCACCGACCGTGTGGTCTCCAACCAGCTGCATATGGCCACCTTCAAACGCTCGCCAACCTCATAGACGAGTGGTCGCCTGTGATGTGGTGGGGACAGAAGGAGGAAGGAGTTCCGTGCTGTCATGTTGGTAGGGTACTTGCATACTCACGATGATGCTGCATTGACCCTTGAAAAGGGACAAGCGATCACCCGCTGCCGAATGTGAAGATGGACTGCGTTTATGCTGGTTCCAGTGCTGGCCCTGCTGGGTCTCTTGTACTCCTCTCGTGATAGGTACTTGCTTTGCATTTTGAGGGAAATTTCTTGACTTCTCTTTTCAAACAGAGGAGCTACATCCACGTCAGGCACACAACTAGCCATGCCGTCGAACGAGACATACAATTTTATGCTATTTGCTGTGTTGTACATCACTGAATGGAAGGTAGCTTGCTATGACCTGACGTTGATTACATAACGTCGTCTATCTAGGCGTGGGTGTACATAGCTCGACATCCCATTGTAAAGCTGAGGACGATTTTAGTAAATTATGTTTGACATTATAGAACGCAAACTCTTAAACTATACTTCTCTCATTCTATACCTACGATTTACATTGTAGGGACAGTCACTTTGTCACAGGTCGAACCACGCACTAGCTCATAGCAGAAACATTAAGTAATATGACCAGAGCATTGGCTGGTCTCAGCAACGGATGAAAAATATTTGGTGAGGATTACATGTTTCTATCTGTTAAGACATGCATTTGGAGAGCTTGAGAAAATAATGATTGATCTTGGCTCCGAATGGTGTCGAGGCGCCGAAAAGCCATACGTAACGCCGAGAATAGCCTTGTAGTGTTTTCTATGAAGTTTGATATCATAAGTTGGACCATTGCAAGCCCGACCCGAGGATCAGATTTCAATACTGCTGACCAGTGAAAAAAAAAATAGGGTTGGTTAGTTAATTTTATACTGCCAGTGAAGTAACATTATAGTTAGTATCATCTATACTCATCTATGGTCTGAACTTCGGAAGCCACGATGATCATCTACTTGCTATCCAGCTTCCGCTTCTCCCGCTCAGCACTAGCTTCTCTCCACTTCCTGCCTTTGTACAACACCAGTAAGATAATACAATTAGTAATGACCATCAACCCCGCCCAGAGGGTATACAAACCACCGTCGCCAATACTATCCTACACCAACCTCAGATACATGTTCCGTAAGCAATCATGACGTCGACTCACTTGTAGAGGCACAGCAATCTCAGTAGCAACAAAAGCAAACGAACCACGGAAAGAACTGTTGGTCGCTACTGCTGTCGATGAGCGACCAGTGTTTGCGTCGACGATGTATGCCAGCGTGCTCGCGTAGATCCATCTATCGCGGATGAGAGCAGAATACGGTGTGACACGAAAGATACATACATGGATAGGAATCCTACGAGGAAGAGCATCACACACATCGCAGCGACGTTGACCCGTTCTTGGCACACCCAACCGTATCCAATCACAGAAAGAGGTAACCACACCATGGCGACTTTTGTACTCTCGAGGCGCATCTGCACGAATTCGCGTTAGAGACAGGTTGAGCTGAGGATAGTGGGTCACCTCTGGAGAGCTGATCCCTCCGTTCGCCGCCTTTAGCCGAACAAGCGTCCGATCGGACCAACGTCCACCTAACATGCTGCCGGATATAGAGCCTGGGATAGATGCATCAGGAAGGTGTTCGTGGTTTGCTCGTGATTCGCCTACCAATACCATAGGCAAGTAAGACGAGGCCGGTCTTCAAAGCGTCGTAATTATAATGCATCGACAATGTTCTTGCGCATGTATACATAATGCTAAAGCAAAATGCATGAATTAAACCTGCGCAAGAGGGCATCAGATTTCTTCGAAACAACTTCAGCAAGGACCACCGAGGGTACTCACCTGATGCTATCAAGATAGCAACGTTGTTCTTACGGCTCATGACCGATAGGTATGGAGGGAAAGGGTTGACATCAAAAATGGACAGCTGTACTTCTCTGATGGCTGATGCTGGTATGACCGTCGGCTGTGCTTCAATGTCATTTGAACTCGTGTGGTCTTCTGCATTCACTTGTAATTCCTTCTCTGAGATATTGCTCGAGTCGTCCTTTGCCTCCGACGATTGTTGTTCTCGGAGCCTCCTCTTCAATACATCTTGGTACGTCGTACTCCTTTCCTTCCGGAAGGTGTCCTTGAACAAGAAAAGAAAAGCCAAAAATATTACACCTCCCCAGACGACTAGGAACCAGAAGATCGCCCGCCAGCTGAGGCCCTGTGTGAGTGCCCCACCGATAATCGACCCCAACGAGGGTCCGAGAAGAGGTGCCGCATAGAAGATACCCATCATTTTTCCTCGTTGATGCGGCTCGTATATATCGGCCAGAGTGGCAGCTCCAATAGTGAGAACTGCGCTCGCCCTACTCCATGTGAGCAAGGAATTAAGGGACTGAGGGGCTTCCCTACCCTGTGCCTTGCAGAATACGCATGCTAATCACAACCCCGATGGTTCCGGATACGGCCACGATCGCCGATCCGAGTGTAAACAGTACTAAGGAGAAAAGGTACACCGCCTGAGCTCGGCGATATTAACAAGTGGCACTCAGGACACAGAAATCCACACCTTGCGGCCCTTTATCTCGCTGATTGCGCTCCAAATCATAGGAAAAATGCCTTGAGCGAGAATATAAAGAGACAAGCTCAGGCTGATGTCCCCGCTACTGGTGTGTAATTGTTGCTCAATTTGAGCATTGGCGGCTGTCCTGGCTGTTCAGCCGATATTGCAATGGTATTAAGAAAATAACTCACGGTTTTGTATATTCGCGCACAAACCCGCGATCATGGATGCCCCAGATACGATGAACACTACAACGTTCTGCACGATGTGATCTATTAGCCTGTAGTTACACAATCAAGAGGGAAGAACACGCCTTTTTCGCGTTCGACCATATTCGAGGGTCATCTTCAACCACTGCATGCTCTATATCGAGCTTGACAGGTTCATTTGACGATTTTGAACCCGACATATGCGTTTGTGTGCTTGTCTCCTGGGATGTCATACTCTATCCCCAATAAAAAGAAGCTCTGACTGGGAATGGGAAAGGGAAAGGCAATAGCACGGGTGAACCCGCGGGTGTTACGAGCTCCACCCGCACCCATACCCGCCATATACCCGTACACGTGTACTCAAGGGTACCAACGGGTACAGGTTCTCCAAACGGGTATTGACGGGTTGCGCGGGTATCGCAGTAAACCCATGGGTATGCATTAAACCTCTACTATAAAACATGTATTAGTAACTACAAACAATATATAAGTCTTCGTCGTTGCCTCGGTAGTCAAAGCGGAAGGAGAGTAGATTCGCGTATTAGCCTCACCCAAGTTTTCGTTGTTGCCTCCGTGGTGAAAGTGGAAGGAGATTCCATTCGCCAGGTTGTTTAATGACATGGACCGATCTGTGTGACCGACCGGGAGTAAAACCAGTGCTTCCCTTCGACGTGCAATAGCCTGATCCAAGTCTTCGTCATGGCCTCGGTGATTAAAGCGGGTCAAGAGTTTATTCGCAAGGTCGTTTAATGACGAAGACCGATGTGTGTGACCGGCCGAGAGCAAAGCCAGTGGTTCCCTGTGAAACGCTATAGCCTTATCCAAGTCTTCGTCGTTGCCTCAGCGGCAAAAGCGGGAGGAGAGTGGAGCTGCGAGGCTATTTAATGACCCAGACCGATCTGTGTGACCGACTGGGAGCAAAGTCAGCGCTTCCCTGTGAAGTGCGATAGCCTCATCCAAGTTAAGCGCAAGAGAACGGAGATGCTTCGTAGTAAGAATATGAAAAATGATAAGAAGTTAAAACATACTTTGAGTCTCAGTGTCACTAGCACTGGTCCCCTGCAACTCCCGCATGGCCTATGATGATAGATGAACTCTAGTAGTACAAGTAAAAGCAATTTTAATGAGAATGAATGCGATGTTGAACAAGACCAAGCGCGGTAAACAAAGTCACATGATATACCCGCGCGGGTACACGGGTCATGGGTCTTGAAAGTCAGACCCATACCTGTACCCGTGCCAATGCCTAGAAAGGGACTAGGTAGGGTGATAGTCAGGAAAGTGTCCGTAGAACCGTAAACAAGAGAGCTCACCTCAGTCTTCGAGCGCCGATCCTGTCTGTGAGCCGGGAGATGGCGTGGATATCTGCCCCACCTGCTTTTGCGCTGGCAAAGAGTTCGTCAAACACAAAGCAGGTCATAGCCACCACGAATATCTGACTCCCTTTTGGGATGGCTGCCTCCTCTCATAGAGTTATGCCGTTCGCGAACGTGAGCACAGGAACAGAGGGAGATGACGACGAGCGGTGTCCGTCGTTTGGTTTTCACAAGGTATGTCGCGGTGTGCTTGCGTGGCACTGTCATGACGCTCAAACAATTTCAGTTCAACTCTGCAATGGAACATCAATGCAGACCCATACATTAGGGTTCGGGAATGCATGCATGCTGCACTCCGAACCCTAAAGTGTGATCACAAATGTGGAAAAGTCTTCCTCTAGCTCATACTCAACTAATCTCGTGTCCGCCACCGAGTGCCCATCAGGATAAAGTTTGAAAGGTGAAGGACTCACATCTGATTGGCCCGCCGCCAGAATATATACTCATGCGCATTGAATTCTGTGTGCCCGCCGCTGACTGACTCAATCGTCCTCAGGCCTCAGGATGTATTCAGGATGCCTCTGCGGTGATATCAATGGTTACCAGGATGTTTTCCGGAAATTTCTGGATATTGGGAATTTGCTGACCCGTTCATTCGGGACGTCCAGGACGTCGGGGACAGGCAGACACGGCACGGACGGACGGACGACCCGACCTTTCGAGATTTCCGGTTTCTACAGCTTGTGGGTCTCTCTTGCTGTTGAAGATCTCACCCATCGCTTTCTCGGAGCGCCTACGTGAGGGAGTTCACTGGCCTCACTGGCGACAGTACATGCCCGAGCACAAGAGATGAAGAAATAAAATATGTAGCGGGGGTTTATGAAGACCAACTGCGCAAGGACCACCTTCCAGATTTAGCAACATGTTGTTTGGTTTATCTAGTTGATTCTGTCTTTCACTAAACATTCGATCGAGTCTGTCACTGACACCACAGGGCGTCACTTCATAGAGGCTCAAGCATAGACTCAGGATATGCTAACCTCAAGCATGCAAATATTCTGCCCGTTTGTGGTTCTACGCACGGCTTCGGCCCATTTTCAGCGATAGTCGGTCCTCGGGTGGAGAATGGTACCTTGACAGTCTATCTGGGGCGTCAAGGTGCGGCTCTTACTGTCCTTAGACGATTCCAGCTGGTAAGTACTCTTCGTGTATTCTAGGTAGACCACAAAACTAATGAAAACTTATCCAAGAGATATTATTTCTCATAGCTGGTCTGCAATATTGTATGTGATCCTGCGCGTTCTCAGAAGAGTCTGATATGAAGGTGGTTTCCGTAAACATTCATGCGTCTAAATCCCAATAATAGAGTGAGTAGAGGCATCCGGTTCCATGCTGCAGCGATATACTGACGATACAATCAGGATTATCCCAATTATTATCAGTCAATCACACATCTGATTGCCTTGTCCACACCTCAAAAGCGAGGTAACACTGGATAATACAAAAGTATTACGCACTACAAAGAGGACTGGGAGCTCATGTTCAACAACGCACGGACGTATAATCAGGAGGGTTTGTGGGTATACATAGACGCTGAGGAGATGGAAAAGTGTTCCATAGCACTTTGGAGAGTGTTACTGCAGAGACGGGGCTACCTGGCGCGTCACCAGCTCTGGGTGGACCCTCAAGCTCTGCAGCATACGACGACTCTGCGCTTAGGTCTATGGATGAAGATGAGCGCCCGCGGCGGGGCAGGGCTCGGAGTGCTGGTCGCAAACAGGTGATCAGCGATGATGAATACCTGACGCTCAGTGTTGATGAGTAGATATACCATTCTTTGTCTTTTGTGCGTTTTGTTCTTGCCTGCATGTTTATGACAGCATCCTTTTGTGGGGTATTTGTATTGATACACGATATTACATATGTATGAGACTACTTGAATCAGAATGGTACCACCACCAGGATCCAGTCGATGATGATTTGAATTTGAACCCTTCAAGGATATGTCGTTGTGGGAATGCGATATCATGATAGAACGCCACTCCAGCTTCGCGGGTACTCAATATTCAATATTCAATGTTCAACGTTCAATGTTCAGCAATTTGGTAAACGTTCATGCATCATGCACATGGCTTGGACGACTTGGACTCCAATACAGCTTTCCCCCGCCTCCGACACGTCACATCGTGATGTGCCATCAAGGTTTATTGAATATGGTTGACGGTACGCGTACTAGTAGTATGTTGTCTGGGATTCAACGTTCAACGTTCAACCTTGACATTTTCCGAGTCGAATTTTGATTAGTACTTACCCTAAACAGTTACTGTGCAACTTGCAGCCTCGTGCCCTCCAGCTAGTCGGACCTGTAGCAGATAAGCGCTCACTTATCTTTCCAACTTACCTGCAAAGTTCAACGTTCAACCACGAGCCATCTATCGACTTTGAATATAATCGCAATCAATCGTCCATTCCATCTCAAACATCCTGTGATATCTTTGTTGTTTGATCATTTTACCATCACCACTTGAACCCTTTTGACGTCAAACAAAGCTACAGCTTAGACATCGATTCCTCGACTTGTCCTATTCCAACTTCCCGTCTTGTGTCACATTCTATCATCAATATCCGTTGACAAGTGACCGGTATTGATGTAAATATATCCTTACCTCCTTACCTCTCTAGCCTGACATGAATGACAGTTCTTGGCTAGCTTCTAGCAATGGCCGAAGGAACTTGGGAGAAGCTGTCCCAGGTCGCTGTCCTGGGCGCTGAATATGACTCCCCTGAACGCCAGCCCCATCCGAAATGTTTGAAAGGTACCCGAGTGGACCTTCTCGAATTCATCCACGGACGGTTGAACAAGCGAGAGAAGAGTCAAATAATTTGGCTGCATGGGACGGCAGGCGTCGGAAAGTCTGCTGTGGCATTCACTGTAGCTGAAAGAATGAAAAGTCTGAAAATGACAGAGGAGACGAAAATTGAAACAAGGCTCGCGGGGACATTTTTTTTCTCGCGCAAGCACACGAAACGCAGCACAACCGGTCATTTCTTTGCCACGCTTGCTTACCAGCTTGCGAGCAATTTTCCCAGCGTCAGGAACGACGTGAACAGAGCCGTCCGCGAGAATCCTGCAGTTCTAGACTCCAGCAAGTCTCTTCGTGACCAGATGAAGGCGTTATTTCGCCAACCTCTTTGGCACCTGCAACTCAGGTTACGCGACTGTCCGCCTCCGGTCTTTGTCATTGATGCCCTTGATGAATGCAAACCTGAAACTATCCCCGACCTCATCTCCCTCCTCGGGGAAGCTCTTCGTGATCCTGAACTTCCCATGATCCACATTCTGCTCACGAGTCGCTTGGAAGAGCATATACGTAAAGCCATTCAAACAGAAGAGATGTGCGCACTGGTATACGAGATACCAGTGCACACTTCTGGGGAAGGCATTTCTCGCACCATTTCGTTAGATGGCGAAGATGTTGACAATGACATCTATGTCTTCTTACAGCATTCCTTCATGGAGTTGCAAAGTCGTCATCCTGATTTCCCTCAGCCCACTGAGGATAATCTTACGCGATTGGCGAACCGAGCTGGTAGACGTTTCATCATAGCATCTACAATGATGAAGTTCGTCGATGACGGATACAATGACCCCCGGGAGCGCCTTGAACTCATGCTCGATCTAACCAATAAACTGCTACCTGGGACAGAAGTGTACGAGCTATACAACCGCATCCTCTCCACCTGTTCGAACCCCAATCGGGCATACCAGCACTTGTCCATTGTTGCTGCCCTTGCAGACCCTCTGCCAATCTCACTGATCTCGAAGCTCCTTGGTCCTGGTCAAGGCAGTGATGTCGCAACCGTACTAGTACAGCTACGGTCTTTCATAGATATCCCCGTTGACAGCAGTCATCCCATAAATATCTACCACTCATCCATTCGAGACTATGTTTCAGACTTCTCAAACTGCAACCTCTCTGGATTACAACCCGTCATAGCACCACATTCCCAACTCGCTTATTCCTCTTTCTGCTTGATGATCCAAGATATTCCAGAGCGCACTGATTTGATGGATGCGCTCTCAGAATTGAGGTCACAGGATCAGGCTATGCAACCCCTCGACCCCCGGGACCTGCAACAATCGTTAGCCTTCATTGTTGAGCCACCAGAGCCGTTGCAGGTTCTCATGGGCCTGTTATGGCTTCGGGGAGCTCGCGGGTCTGGTCTGCGGTCCTGGCTAAGGACTTTGGATGGACGTGCATGGCTACAGACCCAATATGGGGAAGACTATTTGCGGACACAGAAGGGAGAAGACTGGCTGCAGACCTTGGACGGGGGGCATTGGCTGCAGACCCACACAGGAGACACTTGGTTACGGACCGAGAGGGGGCGAGGGTGGCTGCAGAGTAGGCCAGGGTGGCTGTGGACTCAAAGACGGCGACAAGTCACTGGAGACCCTGGCGAGTACGTGCCATTGGATACTTGGAGCGGACAAGACTCGCTGGAGACCATCAACGGGCAAGTCTGGCTGCAGACCCAGACTGGACGAGAATGGTTGCAGACCCAGACTGGGGGAGAGTGGCTGCAGAGCCGACGCGGGGAAGAGTGGCTTCAGACCTCTACCGGACAAATGTGGCTGCAACAGACACCAGGTGGCAGAGAATGGCTACAGACACAGAGGGGGCGAGAGTGGCTGCAGACCCAGAGCGGCCAAGAATGGCTGCAGACCCCAAGTGGCAGAGAATGGCTACAGACCTATGGTAGTGAGTGGCTGGACACCAAGGCCACTGAAAACTGGAAACAATTGCTGGATGAGGATATGAGCCGACAATTTGTGGGCAAGCAAAAATGGTTGGAGACCAAAAGCGGGCGACAATGGTTAGAGACCAGAAGCGGGAGGGAGTGGCTGGAGACACCGTACGGGGAGGGATGGCTAGTGACAGAGAGCAGGAGAGTGTGGATGGAGACAGAGAGCGGGAGGGAGTGGTTGGAGACAGAGAGCGGGAGGGTGTGGCTGGAGGCAGAGAGCGGAAGGGTGTGGCTGGAGACAGAGAGCGGGAGGGTGTGGCTAGAGACACAGCATGGGATGGTATGGCTAGAGACAAAAAGCGGGACGGAGTGGCTGGAGACACAGAGCGGGAGGGTGTGGATAAAGACGCAGAGCGGGAAGTTGTGGATGAATGCACAGAATGGGAAGCTGTGGCTGAAGACACCGAGCTGGAGGGTGTGGCTGAAGACACCGAACTGGAGGATGTGGCTGACGACATTGCATGGGAGGGAGTGGCTGAAGACACCGAGCGGGAGAGTGTGGCTGGAGGCACCGAGCGGAAGAGAGTGGCTGGGGACATCGAACGGGAAAGAGTGGCTGATGGCACCGAGCGGGAGAGTGTGGCTGGAGACACCGAGCGGGAGAGTGTGGCTGGAGACACCGAGCGGGAGAGCGTGGCTGGAGACACCGAGCGGGAGAGCGTGGCTGGAGGCACCGAGCGGAAGAGAGTGGCTGGAGGCACCGAGCGAGAGAGAGTGGTTGAGGACACCGAACAGGAAAGAGTGGCTGGGGACATCAAGCGGGAGAGCGTGGCTGGGGACACCGAGCGGGAGAGTGTGGCTGGAGACACCGAGCGGGAGAGCGTGGCTAGAGGCACCGAGCGGAAGAGAGTGGCTGGAGGCACCGAGCGAGAGAGAGTGGTTGGGGACACCGAACGGGAAAGAGTGGCTGGGGACATCAAGCGGGAGAGCGTGGCTGGGGACACCGAGCGGGAGAGAGTGGCTGGGGACACAGCACGGGAGACTGCAGACTCCAATCAGACATGCATGGCTGCGCACCTTCCACGGACGAGAGTGGCTCCTGACATCAAATGGGCAAGAGTGGCTGGGGACACCGAGCGGGAGAGAGTGGCTGGGGACACAGCACGGGAGACTGCAGACTCCAATCAGACATGCATGGCTGCGCACCTTCCACGGACGAGAGTGGCTCCTGACACCAAATGGGCAAGAGTGGCTACTGACCCGGAGCGCGCAAGAGTGGCTCCTGACCCCAGGGGCCATCAGTAAACCGGTGAGTTCTTGCTGGGGATTATGCTGATTATGGTGCTTTTACATGGTCATATATTGCTTTATATCACTTTATATTACAATGTGACGAAAACCTTTCCTATATATTACGATATATAACGATATATGACGATATCTTCTTCTCACAGGTTCTCTGATGGCCCCGCCCGCCCGCCAGGAGGGCGAGAATGGCTGTATACTCTGGCCGGACGAGAGTGGTTGCAGACCCCAGGTGGACTGCAGACTGAACATGGTCAAGAATGGCTACAGACAAAGAGTGGACAGGAGTGGCTGCAGACCATGTGCGGACGAAAGTGGCTGCAGACTGAGAGTGGACGAGGGTGGCTTAAGACATCCCATGGACAAGCATGGCAGTTGACTCCTACGGCGTCTGTCTGGGTGACAATGGAAGACTTCTCGAACACGTTGGAAACAATCAGCGAGTGCACAATTATCCCAGAATTCCATTTGCCGCCAGCTTTTCAAGCAATCCGGGAGTTTAAGAACTTACCAGATTTCTTGATGTTTCCGGCGTTCCTGGCCTTAAGGCCTCAGGATCATTCCACCTCCACATCCCTGCAAGATTGTCCAGACATCGAGGTCATCCATACTATGACCGCATTCACGATTTTCGCAACCGAGGCACGGGAGCAAAGTCAATCATCTTCTGACGCTCTGAAGTACGCATGCCAAAACTGGGTCTTCCATCTCTCGCGAGCTCCGAGTCCAATGGACCATAGGCTCACCTGTGCATTCAAGCTCTTCTGGGATCGCCATCTCCTCTCCTGGCTTGAAATGCAGTGGTGCTTGAAGGGCCTGCGGTCCTGTCTCCTTGTGTTATCGGAAGGACAGAAACTTGCAGAGGTGTGTTCTCGATGATTTTCGTATATTCAGCACCTAACCTGCCCAAAAAGGAACGTCTCGTTGAAGCTACAGAGTCTCAGTCTCGGGTTTGAAACTGTCCAATTTACTATGCACTGGATGTCTTGCTGTCTCTTGTTATTCCGCATTGATATTTTTCTTTCATGTCGCCTGTGTATTTTCGGACTTTGGAATTTTGCGTCGGTGTTCCCACTGGTTGATCGTGAAGTATACTTAATGTCATGAAAAGAGGTTTACATCAGAACGATCAGTCGTAACGTTCATGATGAATGATATGATTGGTAGGCGCTGTATTTCGCTTCATATCATCTGTTTCTGATGTCAGTCACACTGTCACAGGTTCCAGGGCGAGTAGTACTTGTGAGTCCTCCCTACAAATAACCGTTAATCTTACTATGTAGTACTAGTGAAGATGTCGGTCGATCATAGTGATTGGTTTACCTTCACGAGTCAATATCGTGTCTGTGAGCTTTGGGAATAGCCGTGCGGCGCGGTGACTTCTAGGAATTTTGACGAGTCATTGGACCAAGCCCGACTCAAGGATCAGCACTTTCGATTTCAATGGACGACCATGAAGTGGCTCATCAACTTGAACGCTAACAAGGTCGCTGGCAGTTGCTGTATTAATGAATTTCATATCGATGACAGTTGACTGCGCGACATCGATATATGTACATGCATCAACTTGAACTGACGGCAAACGAGCCTTACTAATTCTATGCTACCAGTGACACAGTAATGTTATAGTTATCGTTAGTATCATCTATCTATCTATATATCTATCTGTGCGCTTGACGTCTATCGATCATTGTTCTCTACATATTCCTGTGTTGAGCTCCACCTGTGTCTGCTTATGCCACCACATTCAACGGATCTGAGTCAAGGACTCACGTTCGAGAATGCGGTACTGGACCTCCGTACAGGTTCGTTCGCGCACGGACAGCTTTACACTGCGCTATCCAAAGTGCGATGTCGGCGTGGCATTCGCGCGCTATTTCCTTCAGAGGGTGAGGAGAAGACAACGGCGAACGTAGTATACAGACAACTGTTATTGCGAAGGCGACCGGTCCGCTTGTACTCATCTATGATCTGAGCCATGATGATCGTCTACTTGCCATCCAACTTCCGCTTCTCCCGCTCAGCACTAGCTTCTCTCCACGTCTTGCCTTTATACAACACCAGTAAGATAATACAATTAGTAATGACCATCAACCCCGCCCAGAGGGTATACAAACCACCGTCGCCAATACTATCCTAAAACCAACCTCAGATACGTTGTTCCGCAAGCTATTATGTATGGCATCGACTCACTTGTAGAGGCACAGCAATCTCAGTAGCAACAAAAGCAAACAGACCACGAAAAGAAGCGTTGGTCGCTACTGCCGTCGATGAGCGACCAGTGTTTGCATCGACGATGTATGCCAGGGTGCTCGCGTAGATCCATCTATCGCGGATGAGAGCAAAAGACGGTGTGAAAGGAAAGAAACATACATGGATAAAAACCCTGCAAGGAAGAGCATCACGCACATCGCAGCGACGTTGACCCGTTCTTGGCACACCCAACCGTATCCAATCACGGAAAGAGGTAACCATACCATGGCGACTTTTGTGCTCTCGAGGCGCATCTGAACCAATTCGCGTTAGAGACAGGTTGAGCTGAGGATAGTGGGTCACCTCTGGAAAGCTGATCCCTCCGTTCGCTGCCTTTAGCCGAGCAAGCGTCCGATCAGACCAACGTCCACCTAACATGCTGCCGGATATAGAGCCTGGGATAGATGCTTCAGGAAGGTGTTCGTGGTTTGCTCGTGATTCGCTTACCAATACCATAGGCGAGTAAGACGAGGCCGGTCTTCAAAGCGTCGTAATTATAGTACATCGACAAAGTTCTTGCGCATGTATACATAATGCTAAAGCTGAATGCAAAAATTAAAGCTCATACAAGAGGGCATCAGATTTCACTTCAGCAAGGACCACTGAGGGTACTCACCTGATGCTATCAAGATAGCAATGTTGTTCCTACGGCTGATGACCGATAGGTATGGAGGGAAAGGGTTGACATCAGCAATGGACAGCTGTACTTCTCTGATGGCTGATGCTGGTATGACCGTCGGCTGTGCTTCAATGTCATTTGAACTCGTGTGGTCTTCGTCATTCACTTGTGATTCCTTCTCTGAGATATTTCTCGAGCCGTCCTCTGCTTCCGACGACTGTTGTTCTCGGAGCCTCTTCCTCAATACATCTTGGTACGTCATACTCCTTTCCTTCCGGAAGGTGTCCTTGAATAAGAAAAGGAATGCCAAAAACATTAAACTTCCCCAGATGGCTAGGAACCAGAAGATCGCCTGCCAGCCGAGGCCCTGTGCGAGTGCACCACCGATAATCGACCCCAACGAGGGACCGACGAGAGGTGCAGAATAGTAGATACCCATCATTTTTCCTCGTTGATGCGGCTCGTATATATCGGCCAGAGTGCTAGCTCCAATAGTGAGAACTGCGCTTGCCCTACTTCATGTGAGCAAGGAATTAAGGGACTGAGGGACTTCCCTACCCTATGCTTTGCAGAATACGCATACTGATCACGAAACCAATTGTTCTGGATACGGCCACGATCACCGATCCGAGTGTAAACAATACTAAGGAGAAAAGGTACACCGTCTGAGCTCGGCGATATTAACAAGTGGCCCTCAAGAAACAGAAATCCAAACCTTGCGGCCCTTTATCTCGCTGATTGCGCTCCAAATCATAGGAAAACTGCCTTGAATGAGAATGGAAAGAGACAAACTCAGGCTGATGTCCCCACTACTGGTGTGTAACTGTTGCTCAATTTGAGCATTGGCGGCTATCCTCCGGCTGTTCAGCCGATATTGCAATGGTATTAAGAAAACAACTCACGGTTTTGTATATTCGCGCACAAACCTGAGATCATCGATGCTCCAGATATGATGAACACTACAACGTTCTGTACGATGTGATCTATCAGCCTGTAGTTACAAAATCAAGAGGGAAGGACACACCTTTTTCGTGTCTGACCATATTCGAGGATCATCTTCAACCACTGCATGCTCTATATCGAGCTTGATAGCTTCATTTGACGATTTTGGACTCAAAACATGCGTTTGGGTGTTTGTATCCTGGGATTTCATACTGTCTCAAATAAAGAGATGCTCGAACTAGGAACGAGAAATAGTCAGGAAGGTATCCGTAGAACCGTAAATAAGTGAGCTCACCTCAGTCTCGCCTCGAAAGATTGAGGGTGACTATTTTAGAGGAGAGAACTTAATACGCTGATTGAGACGGAGAATAAAAGGTGAACGTGAGTATGAGGCGTGCAACGAGGAGTGATCGCATATGTAAAAGAAAAGGGTGAGTACGTACGGAGAGTGACGTCGAGCGTCATATTTTAATACTCTCAATTTCCGTAGGCGACAGAGTCTTACTCTGGCTTTCTGCCATAGCGTAAAAAGTTATCCGATGCGGAAACTGAAGATGAGAGCGCATGATAACATAGATGATTCAACAATGAAGCGGGCGACAAAAGCACATATTTTTTGCCGGCGCCGTAGATCAAAAACAACCCCAACTATAGTGTCAGTGTGTCGGACGACGAGGCCGATTAAGTGGCACGGCTATAGCCTATAGAACCTTGTCTTCATTCTGTCTATCGGATAGCCACTGCGAGTAAGACCCCTAAACGACCAGCTTGGGTTATCGAGGGTTACAGCGGTGACCTTCAGGATCGCAATCATCCAGGATTTCTATCAGAGAAAACCATCCAAGTCATGAGTCGACCCTGTTATCTGTCCATACAGGACGTACATTCGATTATCAACTTACTAAGTGTGCACTAGCCTCAAGTATCACATGTCGATTATCAGGGAACCGATGAGTCTTTCAGGGTGCGTTACGTTGATTGCAGGGCGTTTATGTCGCGATATATTGCTTGTAGTGATGAAGATAAAGGGAAAGGCTCTGCACATATTGTCATGTGGTGGTATATAAAAGATATAACTTTCTCACCAGGACTGTCCTCTGATTGGCATTCTGTTAAAACGCGTTACGAGAGGGAGATTGATCAGAAGGAACTGTATTCCTTCGTCTGAATCTGGCTAGGGAGTTGAAGCGACTTCGGCCCTAGTCGGAATTGTGAGTCAACGAATAATTATCATCAAAGTGGGTAGATAGGAATATTGGCCAGGACACTTGCGATGAAACACTTGCAGATGGACTGACCAAAATTTAGATCTGCAAATGTGGCAGCTGCACACTACGTATTATTGAATTTGTAGTGACATGACTGATTGTGCATAAGTAGCTGGCACGGACAAGGACTGGACAGCCTAGTCTGGACTAGCAGGGCCTTTCAGTCGGAGTTTCTATCGGCCATGCTGCCACCTGGCCCTGGATCACTAGCACTCGTCGAAGCTCCAACACTCCAACATATCTCATTTGTCGACCTTACAAGTTTCATGCGCTGCGCTAGCTTACTGAAGGATGCATATGCTTGGCCGCAGAGCATGAATACAGTGTCGCAAATTTCCTAAAGTGGTTGCAATGAGGTATTCTTGGAACGAATTTGCAAGGAATCTTGCTATATTTCAATATATTGCAATAATATGGCAACCAAATTGCAACGTGCCTTACCATTGCAAGGCCCGTTGCAATCTGTTGCAATGCCATTTTAACCACATTTCTATGGCAATTTTAAGTACGACTCTATTATTTAAACCCATTTCAAAGGCCATTTTCCCTTTGAACCTTGAAATGCCTTACAAGGTGTTGAAATCTAAATTAGGAATTTCTGACAAGTATCATAATGGGACGGGACGGGACTTCGAAGGCGCTCAGCATCACATCCTATGTAATGCGTTTAGATGCCATCAGGGCCGTTGAGGAGACTTAACCTCGAGTTCAAGTTTGTCATATGGAAAGATATTCTGTGCATTGACAAAACAATAACATCAAGTACATTGTTACAGACTATGTACAATACCATCCACTATGCGCAGATTCTTGAATTCGCTCCACTCCATTTTGCAAACAGAGTATCACAGCGAAAGGGTTTGCAAAAATTGCTGGAAGCCGAAGCTAACAGACGGGTTCGGATGTGTAATTTGCAATCAGCAAAAGACTGTGCCTCGGTAAAGACCTCACTGGCGACAGTACATGCCCGAGCACAAGAGATGAAGAAATAAAATGCAGAGCGGGGGTTTATAAAGGTCAACTGGCCCGCGCACGGACCTCCTTCCAGATTTAGCAACATGTGTGTGGTATTACCCATTTTAGCAGGCAAGTATGGATGCGTGTATAACACAGTTATGCATGTATTGAACATGTCATAGTCTAAGCGCAGACCAC